CGTCGAGATCGCGCGCCCCGAGAAGCGCGTGACAGCCCTGAGCGCGTGGGAGCTGATGTAGGCGGCCCGCTAACAGCAGGCGAGGGAGGAAAGCGGAAGAGGAGGAAGAAGCGAGGAGGAGGGGGAATACGCCGACGACAGTGTTTACGACACGCAAGCGCGAAGCGCGACTGCGACGCAGTCGGTCGGGTGTCCGAAACCATCCTCACACCCTCCCTTCTCGCCATCCCCGACGACAACGGCGTCGGCGACGCCGACGAAAACGTCGACGTCGACGACGTCGGCAAAGGCCCTCCCTGAGGAAGGGGACGGGAAAGTGAGGGAGGCCCTTGTCCTCCTCCTCCTCCTCCCTCCCTGTTTCCTCCTCTTGCCTATAGCTATGTTGGGTCGAACTTATTTAAGGCGTTACGTATCGAATGGGGCGGCATGGTAGCGGAGTGCGGTTAAAAAAGGCAGTCGGCTGCACTATTGTCAAACATCCCTAACTGGCCAACGCCTGAGCGCGGCCAGCGAGTTGGCAACCGACCTGGCGATGCAGAACCACACGACTGCCCCTACTCAGGTTGGGGGGTGACTGTAGCTCCCAGCCCGTGGCTATGTGGTTGTTGCCGTTGGTTATGGAGCGTGGTGTTGTCGTCGGTACCTTGGTATCTCGCGTGTATGCCAATGTTCTCGCCGACGGTGAAGTCGTAGCGCTTAGTGGCCTGCTTGTTGTAGGTTTGTGTGGGTCTCCTGCGAATCCTCCTCTGTGCAATCGGAGTCGAAGTGTGGATGCTAAAGTCGCGCCATGTTGTTGTCGATGTCGTTGGACCACTCTGTCCACATTCGTGCTGTCCTTTGCTGGTGTCCTATGGCGTGGCCTTGTGTGTCGCCGAGTGCGCATGGCTTGCCGTCACGTCTGTACTGGAGGCAGCGGTGGAAAGGGGGGTCGTGGGGACGTAATGCCCAATGGTGGCCGATGCTTGTGTGCCAATGCATTTATTCCATCTGGACAATCTGGTGCTGAGACGCTGGTGTATCAACTGGGAATGGGTGATGCTGATGTCTGGAAGGTATGCAACCGTAAGGTTGCTGGGTTCGATAGTGTGGGCCCATCCGATATCTGTAGGAACCACCCAGTGCTCGTGTCCGAACCAGTGGCGGATGTACACGAACTTCCTGTCTAAGTTCTTGTTGGTGACCTCGCGTGGTCTGTTCTTTTGTACTTGCGCACGTAGTGGGGTCGCTGTATTCGGCTCGTAGTCCTTGCATGGTGTAGCTATGCGCTGAAATGGTGGGAAGAGCGGCCCGAGCGTCTTGCTTATTAGTAGGGGTGGTTGTGTGTCATCTTCGTCCCCGTCGTAGTGGTTGCCTGCTGAGCGGTAGTGTGCCTCTCCCAACTATCTGCGTTCTTGTGTCAATGGGTCGTCGCATTTTTGGGAGTAAATCCAATGCAACTCTACGGCTTGTGCAAACAAAACCTGGAAATGCCGCCGTTCTTCCGCGTGTACTGCGAACCGTCCATTTGTATCTGTAGCTACGTCTGGATCTCGAATGCCACCCATCATGGCGACTGTCCGTGCGATCTGGGGGCCGCCCAGCCGCGGGGCCAAGCTGGTCATCATTCGAACAAAGATTGCAACGGTATGCTGTTGGTGATGGTATGTCGAGGCTGGATACCTGGAACACTAATAATACATACGGTAATTCAACATTTATGGTGGATATTGGGCAGCCGTGGGATACTAGATGTAGATAGTGTTCTGCAGCTATCCTGTGCTCGGGCTGGTGCTTGGGTCTATGGAAGCTGTAGCGCTGTCTGCAAACGCCTTCACTCCCTTCCTCAAGCCAGGCCCTGTGGGTTCCCTGAAGGGTATGGGGAAGGTACTGCGTCGATTTGCTTGATGTGGATGTCGTGTTGTCTGTGGTGATAGTCGTGCAGGCATGCGACGTGGTGCTGTCGTAGTGCCATGCCGTCGTAATTGTGTCGTGTTATGCGCAATTCCTCTTCCTGACTACGCTGATGACAACGTCAAGTGTCAGAAAATTCATGCGTACATGGGGTTTTATATGGGATCGAGATTGCAAGAGGAATCAATGAAATATGTCGTCACATCGAGGAGGGGCCCTCTTCACCTTCTTCAAGTACTGCGCTGCGCCTCATGGGATTAGGTACAATCAAAACATATCAGCCAGCGTTGACTCCAAATAAATAGGAGGACAGGAGGACGACGTGAGGAGGATGGGAGGAGGACGAAAGGAGGACGGGAGGAGAGCGGGAGGAGCAAAATCAAGCAAGCGCAAGCAAGCAAGCGGAAGCAAGCAAGCGCAATCGAGCTATAACAAGCAATCAAGACCCAGCGATCAAGTGCGAGCAAGCAAGGGCAAGCAAGAGCAATCAAGCGAGAGCAAGCACGCAAGAGTAATCAGGCGCAATTGGAACAAGGAGGGGGGCCATTGGAAAAAGTGGGGGTGCCATTGGAAAAGGGGGGGGGGTCCTAAAGACCAATTGCTTATGATGTGCTAGGAACAACGTGTACAATAAGAAATTTATACTTGGATGCACAAGGTGAAAGGAGTACCGATCAAGCGCCCTCCATGCCTCTCTCCGAAATATGCCCCATTGGGTTCCCGTGCCGGGCATGAAGCGCGCTCCTTGTGCGATATCCTTCTGACCATCTGTATGCTGTATCGCCCCTTTCTTCATGATGGCCTTTCCCTGGAATGCTCTCTCTTTGGCTCCCGTGCTGGGTATGGGGCGGGCGATGGCATGCGTCTTCGGTCGGTGTAGGCTCTGCCATGGTGGTTAAGTGCGCGGTGGTTGTACAATGGCACGTGTGGTGGACTGTGCTAGATTGTTTTGCTGAGTCGGTTTCTTATGCTATGCGGTCTTCTCATCTGCTGAATGGCACAGAAATCGTGTAGTCGATGGTGCTTGTGGTCTTCTGTAGGTGCTACGTGGTGGTGCTCATTTATAACGCTGTGCTGTCGTCGTAAAGCTGTGCCGTCGCAGTGCTGGTTCGCGGTGCTGGACTGCGCTGATTCGTCGTGCTTGATTGTGCCGTACGCGAGAGAAAGTGGATGAGACACTGTAAAGAACTGTTGCAATGTCAGATGCCCGACGGTCAATCGCTGGCTGACAAATCTCTTGCAAAAGCAGTTTTCGTTGTCTTCGGAATATTAAGAGTCCTTCGCGAAGGTAACAACAGACAATATAATATATCCAAACAATAACCTGTATGTAACAAGGGCATAGATGGTAAACGATGCATCAATTATTCATGTGTTGAATGTTAAAGCCTTGCTTGCTTGTCCCAGAGATATGCACTATGGGCTTTCGTACCGGGTATGAGGCGGGCTCCTGTGTGTAATCTCGCATGACAGATTGAAGACGGTATCGCGCATGTGCTCCGGGTGCCTCTCCCCGAGGCATGCCCTGATGGCTCCCGTGGCGGGTATGAGGCGGGCGTGACAGACAGCCCTCATACAATCAAGTCAAAGGTTGTAGATTGTTGGTGCTGCTGTATGTTTTGTGGTCAGTAGCAAGCGTGGTGGACTGTACTGCGTCGTGGTGCATGCCGCATTCGTGTGCAGTGGTGCTACGTGCCAGATAATGTAGCAAGGATTGATGCCAGGCAGTAGTTACAGCTTCGGAGTGTAATCTTGAATGTATGGTAAAAGACTGATCATAATGCCCTCGATGTTCTCCCCAGGGTATGCCACATAGGCTCTCATGCCAGGTGTGAGGCCAGCTATCTGTGTTGTATGCCTAAAGGTAGTCGCGGTCAACTTGTCGAAATGCTGGTCACCATAGCCTGGTCTGCCTCTCCACGACGTATGCCCCGGTAGGCTCCCATGCTTGGTATGGGGCTGGCTAGGCTAGTTGCCGCGTAAGGTGGCTAGAGGCCACTTTCCTGGATCCGAAACATTTTTCATCGCTGTCGTCCCCCTCATTTCTCCGCCTCCGCCTTCCCCAGGTCCTCGTGATCCTCCCACTCCCTCCACTCCAGTTCCTGCTGCTGCTGCTCGTCTTCGTCCTCATCCTTTCTCATTCTCCCCATTTGCCTCCTGCTCGTCCAACTGCTCACCCGCCACCTCCTCCTCCCATGTACGCTGCTCTCCTTTTCCGACTGTGCATCACCTGATGGGCTCTTTTCGGATGACAGGCGTCCGCGGATAGAGAAAGTCAGCGCGATGGACACCGATGGGACAGAGGGATAGGATGTCAGACATGGCACGGGCGCACATAGCTTGCCTCCTCCTCCTCCTCCTCCTCCTTTCCTTCTCCTCCTCGTTCTCCTTCCCTTCCCTTCCCTTCCCTTCCCTTCCCCTTCCCCTCCACCCCTCCGTTTCCCCCACCTGCCTCTCCTCCTCCTCCTCCTCCCTCCTTCTCCTCTTCCTCCTCCTCTTCCTCCTCCTCCTCCTCCTCCTCCTCCTCCTCCTCCTCCTCCTCCTCCTCCCCTCTGTCAATCCAGCCGCGCTCGTATCCGATCAGAAGCGTGCCATTACAACATTGGGAATGCTGCATCGCGAATGCTGGCGAGCTGGGGCCGACATGTGCAAGTAACCAGTGTAGAGGAGCAAAGGAGAGGGAGAGTATGAACCACTCCCTGCTCGTCTTGGTTACAGGCCCCGAACTCGCAAATGTAGCATGATGCCGTCTTGGGTATCACCAGAAGGAGCAACCACCTCGCCATGTATACAGATCAAGGGAACTCCTAGGGGTACGGCATACGCATTACTGAACACGGGGTGGTTATCACGCGCCATTTTTTGTTACACACATGCAGTACTAACATGCACATGTGTTCACAACGGTGTTGTGTCTTTTCTCTCTGTGTATGTTTGTAGATTGTTGCTCCGTTATTGGCAGTGGCCCTCCCGCATTCGCTGCTGCTGCTGCCCTTCCCTCTTCTCCTACCTCCCTTTTTCGCTCGTCCTCTCGTGCTCCTCCCTCGTCTTCGTCGTCCTCCCACCCTCACTGCTCACAGCCCGCGGGGGCCGTCCTCCACGCCCTCGTCCTAGTCAGCGTCCCCCTCGACCTGCGCGGACTCTAAGGCGGTGTCGCCGAGGTTCTCGTCCTCCGGCTCGAATCCCCGTCATTATCCTCCTTCTCTTCCTCTCCCTCTCTCTCCCCTTCCTCCTCCTCCTCCTCCTCCTCCTCCTCCTCCTCGTCCTCCTCCCCATTCCCCCTTCCTCCGTTCCTTCTCCACTTCCTACTCCTCGTCCTCTCTCCATCTCGAACGCACGACAGCAAAGTATGGAGCCAACTCTTCTCAAACAGGATCCGTGGAAGATCAGGTGGAGGAGGAAGAGGAAACTGCGGAGGAGAAAAGTCACTCCTATGAAGTTGCTCTTGAGGTTCATTGCGCCACTCTACTGGTCGTCTACTCCACTGGTCCACGAGGTCGTCTACTCGAACTTGCAGAACATGAAATCGTCTACTCCACTGGTCGCGCAATCATCCCACCTTCCCACCTGCAACTTGTTTTGCGCACCCGTGCGGCCGCGATTGCGGTGACTATTTGGCACTGGCTAGTACATCTCGGCGGATGCGCTAGCGCGCGTAAGCTCGTGGGCAGAGCGGCCAGCTGGTTTGGCACGGCCGACGCGGCCAAGACGGCGCTTACCGATGGAAGCTTCCCAACGCGTCTCAAAAACAACCCTTGCACGCGGGCATTTCAATACGGGTAGGTGATTCGGGCGGGCGCGTTTTCATGATGACGCCGACATTGGCAGCAATGATAATGGTAGTAGCGATGGTAGAATCGATGTTGAAGATGACAACGGCAATATCAATGACGGCACCGGTATTCGTGACGACGATGATGATGTCCATGTGTCAGTGGTGAACAATATTGTCTGATGACGGCGGCAATCACGGCGATGGATGATGACTATACCGGCGGTGAGATTATGAGGGTGATGTGGGGAAGTGCGCACGCGAGGACATGCAAGAACCCTGCCATACCTTTGTTGCAACATGTGGTTTTCAAATGTTTTTGAATCGCCCGTGCTTCGAAAACCTTTGGTAAAGGCAGGATTTCGACACGCGGGCGTGCGTGCGGCCCGCGTGGGATTTTTTCAGGCGGATTCGAGCACTGGCCGCATGCTGAGTCAACGCGGATGCACCGCGTGGTGAGACGAGAACAAGGCCTCTTGACGAACTTGCAGACATCATACGGTTTCCCTGTGCTTTCAGCAACTGCGCGCGGGCAGGGGATCTGCAAGATCTGTGATGGAAAATGTTAGCCAGCTTGGGCCCCAAACAATGACTTCTTGCAATCAATGCGATGCGACAGGTGGTGCAATCAATATGGTACAACCTTGGTGATGCAATCCATGTGGTGCAGTCCATGTGGCGCAAAAGAATGCGAATCAATGCGTTGTAATACGTTGACATCCAAAGCAATGCAAAGCAATGCAAACCATTGCAAAGCAATGCAAAGCATAGAAAGGAAGGCAAGGCAATGAAAAGCAGTGCAAAGCAACGCGATGCAATGCATTGCGACGCAAATCAATGCAAAGCAAGGCGAAACAACATATTGCAATGAGAAACAATACAACGAGCTGTAAAGCAATGTAGAGCAATACAAAACGATGCAAGGCAACGCGAGGCAATGCAAAGGAATGCGAAGCGATGCGAAGCAATGCAAAGCAATGGAATGCAATCCGATGCAAAGCAACGCAAAACAACGCGAAGCCATGCAACACAGTGCAAAACGACGGGCAGCGACGAGCCGGCTGGACCGTCATTGGGATCCGGCGGCGACGGCGGCGACGGGCGGCGACGAGCTGGCTGGACCGAACGGCGACGGTAACGACAAGCGGCGACGGACGGCGACGAGCCGGCCGGACTGGCACCCAGTCCTAGTTGCCTCAGAACACAAGCAGGGGTTCCTAAGTGCAAACAGTGCTTTGTCTGTGGAACCTCCGCACATGCGCGCGGGCAGGGCACCTGCAATATTTGTGATGCAAGACCTTGGTGATCCTAACATTTTATATTGAGGTGCTTGCATGGCTAGTGTGTCCGTTCTGATTTTGGCAAGTTCGCGCGCGTGTGGGTTGTTTGAAAATTCGAAGCGGATCTCTGAAAACTAATCTTTTCAGAGAAACGAGTGTGCGCGCATGATGTGAAAGGGGTGTGCGGATACTGGCCTGTCTGGGATGGAACGGATTCATATGGAGAGATACGGTGAACAAAAATCGTACGACAAAGTGTACTATCCCAAGGTATCCGTTCTCATAACCCTGGGGGGGAGGGTGGTAGAGTCCATTTTCCCCTGCAAGCGGAATCCGCACTCGGTGAAGCTGTGGCCAACGCGCACATGCAGTAAATAGCAACACTTGTTCGTGGTCTTTCGAGCACGCATGTATGTATGTGTATGTATGTCTATTTGTTTGTATGCATGTATGTCTGTATGTATGTACGTCTGTGTGTATACATGTATGTATGCATGCATGCATGCATTTATGTATGTATGCATGTATGCATGCGTGTATTTATGCGTGTATGCATGCATGTGTATGTGTGTACGTACGTATGTATGTATGTAGGTAGGTAGGTAGGTAGATAGGTAGGTAGGTAGATAGGTAGGTAGGTACGTCGGTAGGTATGTAGGTATGTAGGTATGTAGGTATGTAGGTATGTAGGTATGTAGGTATGCATGTATGTATGTATGTATGTATGTATGTATGTATGTATGTATGTATTCATGTATTTATGTTTGTGCGCATCTACATACATATTAGAACCATCGCGCGCGCTTCGCGCGCGCTCAAGTTACCCGGAATTCCAGCTCGCGGACAAATGCCGAGGGCTGGGCGACGGTTGCGGATATGACCTTAGGTCGGACACGCTGCGGAAACACGTAGCGAAGAACCCGTCCCTGAGCATGGGGGACACCAAGAGGACGACGAAGAGGACGAGGGGGGGGCGGTCTGGAGGTCGAGCAAGGGGAGAAGAGTCCAGGAGCATGACGGCGGCGAAGACGAGGGCAGAACGGGAAGGAGGGGCAGGAGCAGAAGGAAAAGTGGAGTCATTGAAGACGAACAGCAGGAGGAATTCACAAAGAGGAGGGGCATTCGTGCCCCTCGTCCACGTGTGCCCCTCCTAGTGGCCTTCTGCACATCCTGCCACCTAGCCTGGGCTGTTGGTGAGACTTCGTGAATGCCTGGTCGCGTCTCTGGGGAAACCTCAGGGCAGCCTGTTGGAAACAATGGTGAAGCTTCTTGGGACGCTTTTCGGAGCCTCTTCGGGGCCCATTGTGGCTCTCTTGGGTCCTCTGGGGGGGGGGGGGTCCTTGGGGCCCTGCTGGCGATCTTCGGGGTCCTCTTGGGGCCTTCTTGGGTGGTCCTGGGTGCCTCTCGGGCCGTCTTGGGGCTCTCTTGGGCCGTCTTGGGGCCCTCTGGGACACCTCTTCGGCCGTTTGGGGGGCTCTCCTAGGGGCTCCTGGGCCCGTCTTGGACGCTGGGCACATGAAAACATCGATTGCGATAAACATAGACTCTTTTCCACGGGAACGGGGCGATTTTGCCTCTTCGAGTTCTCTTGAGGGTCCTCTTGGAATTGGGGCATCTTGGGGGCCTGCTGGCGATCGCTGGGGTCCTCTTTGGCGGAGGCCTCGAAATGTGTGGTTCGAACCGGGACCTGGCAAGCCTGTGGCCAAAAATGGCTGCGGACATCGAAAGATGAAAAAGCAACGTCGCTACGAACGCGTAGCTGCCACAAGCCAGGTATCCCCGTGGCAACTTTTCTGACACCCCTCTTTATCCTCCTTCTCGTCCTCCTGATGCTCCTCGTCGTCTAAACCCAGCACACGTTCCCTATTATCGGACGAAGACTCAGACACACTGGGGCTTCTGCGTCTCAGTGATAGCAAGAACCGGCATCGAAGGATGGAAACGCAACGTCGCTACGAACACGTGGCTACCACAAGCCAGGTATCCCTGTGGTAACATTTCTGACACCCCTCCTGATCCTCCTCCTCGTTCTCCTGATCCTCCTCCTCCTCCTCCTCTCCCCCCCCTCCTCCTCCTCCTCCTCCTCCTCCTCCTCCTCCTCCTCCTCACCATCAGAGGGCGCCAGGAATGTAAAACGAACCTGTCTCACGACGGTGTAAGGCCAGCTCACGTTCCCGATTCTCGGGCGAGCAATCACACACTTTGGGGCTTCTGCGTCTCCATGGTGGCAGAAGCCCATATGGAAGGATCAAAAAGCCACGTCGCTACGAACGCGTGGCTGCCACAAGCCAGTTATCACGATGGTAACTTTTCTAACACCCCTCCTCGTCCTCCTCGTCCTGCTGATTCTCCTCCTCCTCCTCCTGCTCCTCCTCCTTCTCCTCCTCCGTCTCCTCCTCCTCTTCCTCCTGTCACGACTACCACGATGACGACGAGAAGACAGAGAGGAGACCTCCGGGAAACCCCGAGGGAAGCAATGAGCCCCACGGTCACGACGGCGTCCCTCCGCCCATCTCAACGCACCAATCACACGGACTGCGCGCCAGAAGGACGCGGTTGCACGTGCCCCTCTGTGATTCACGCAACATCACGCCCCACCAGGGCGACTGGGTTACTCACGTGGAGGAAAGGGGGTGTCGGAGACGACAAAGTCAAGCGCAAGTCTGGGTTTTCTCGCGCGTCGCCGTTCCCTGATTAGTGGTAACCCGCTCGATGGCGACTTCATTTGGTACTTCCATGCCCTCCTCCGCAGTCTCCTCCTCCTCCTCCTCCTCCTCCTCGTCGTCCTCCTCCTCCTCCTCCTCCTCCTCCTCCTCCTCCTCCTCCTCCTCCTCCCCCCTCCCACCCTCCTCCACAACATTCCGCTGGACGGGAGGGGTCAATCATTCGCTCACTCGAAGAGGCCGCCCTTGCCAGAACGCCTTTAGCTGTTTCACTGGTCTCACCCGCGTGGCGATGTCATTCGTATTCTCCTCCTCCTTCCGTCCTTCTCCCTCTTCTCCCCCCTCCCCCCTGTGGGCCCTCCTCGGCGCCAGCGTCCGCGTCTACGTCGTCTGCAACCTGCGCTGACTCCGGGGCGGGGTCGACGGGGAAGTCCTCCTTCAACTCGTCGAGCCCGCCCTGCGGTGGGATCCCCTGCCATCTCCCTCAACTTTTCCTCCGCCTCTTCCTCCTTCTGCTCCTCCTTTCCCTGCCATACCCCCTCCTCCTTCTCCTCTTCCTCCTCCACCTCATCCTCCTCTTCCTTGCTCCCCCTCCCCCTTCCTCTTCCTTCTGCTCCCTCATTCTCCTCCCTATCACCAACATTCGTTGTTCAGGCTCTGGGATCCCCCAGACTCAGCGGCCTGGCCTGGCGGATTGCTCCGTCTCCTCCTCCTCCTCCTCCTTTTCATGCTTTTCGATGCCCCTCCGAAGATTCTGAGGACCTCCTTAAAGCTGTCTGGGCGCTTCTTGGGGCTGATGGCTGCAATTGCGCACGACGGCGACAAGGACGACCGCAGGAGGAGGGCAATGAGGAAAGTGTGTCTGAGGGAGAAGAGGAGGGGGTGGAGCAGGAAGACATCTTGAGGCTGCCAGGGACACAGTAGTTTGTTATGTGAAAGGCATGGTGTCGCATCGCGGGCTTTTGTCCTCCTCGAGGTCTTTTCGGTTTTTATTGAATATCAGAAAGCAGGCTGGATGACATTTGGGGCTCCTGGACATCTTATTTTATGTTTCTTGGGGCTTCTCGGGGCATGTGAGTCTGTGATGTCAAAACCATCCCGTTGCCATTGCGAGGCTCCGCCCTTTGAAAAGACTCTGGGGGCCTTCTTGGATTCTTCTCGGGTGCCTTTTAGGGTGTCTGGCCACAAGGGATCTCGCAATTCCCAAAACATGCGGTTGGCATCGCGAGCCTCCGCTTTCTTGGAAGCCTTTCTGGACCCCTCATGGTGTCTTCAAGGGTATCCTCAGGTCATGCTGGGGACCATCTCAGAGTTTCTCGGAGCCTCCTGGAGTCTCTGGGAGGGGCCCAAGAATATCCAAAGAGTACGTCATGACCCAATCAAAGGGTGCAACCAAGAGGGCCCTCCTGCCTGCATTACTGCTGTTGACCTCCTCTTCTAGGCCTGTATGTGGCTCTCCTTAGCCTCTCAGGCCTTCTTAGGTCGTCTTGGGAAGCATCGAACTGTCCGCCTGGAGCTTCCTGGGGTTTTCTGAAAACCCCAAGTGGTCACCCAAGAGGTCGCAAGACTTAACCGACGTGTTCAACCTCTTGGTCTTGGTTGCACCACTTCCGTTGTCTTCTGGTGTCTCCTCGTGGCACCCTTCGGGCCCTCCTAGGTCCTCCTGCGTAGTCTTGGGGAGCCGACAGAGGCCCTTCCCGAGGCCCATTGTTAGAGCGTCTCTGAACTCATGGTGTCCATGATGTCCTGCATAGTGTCAAGGGCGTCTTCCTTGTGGAAGAGCAGCTGGAATTATGCGGCCACCCAATGCTTGTCGTTGCTTGGCAGCAGAGTCGCTCAGGCTGGAACACTTGGTCAATTACCTGAATCCCGGCGCTGGTGATTGAAGGCGGTCCTTTACATCCGATGCCGAGCGTCTTCTTTGTACGGGGCCCAAGAAGGCCGCCTTCACATGAATCGACTGCGCGATTGTTGTGAAGGCCCAACGGTCAGCCGCCTCGTCGTAGAAGTTGGGGGTGCAAGCGTGTCCGTTCAGTCACGGCCCCGGCTGAGGCCGACAAGGCGCGCCGACTGGCCTAGAGCGAACGTGTGCTTCTCTGCGGCCTCAGCGCCCTGCCGGAGCGGGCGCTGAGGGCGCTGAGGCTCCCCCTGCTCACGCGCCAGGACTGCTCCGGAGACCTCGGCGTGCCTCTGGTGTTCGGTGCTCGCTGCCTCCGCTGGGCGCGCGGCCTGCGGCGCAGCGAGAGCGCCCCCGAAACGCAAGAGAATGGATTTGGTGATGAAGCGGATGTGGGGCTCGCACGTGAAGTTCCTGAACCCGTTGTTAACGACGACGGCGCTGTCGACATACATGTGCATCGACGAGCAAAGCTGAGGAAGAAGCTGCTCCGTATCATAGGCAAACTATGTACGATGAATTTGTCCGCGAGTGGGTTCCCAGATAGTCATGGCCCTCATCCTCATCCTCCTTGTCCTGCGCCTGCTGCTCCGCACGCCTTCTCTCCCCTCCCCCCTCTTGCTGCTGTTAATCCTCCTGCTTACTCCGCTCCCCCTCTCCTCTTCCGCCGCTCCTGCGCCTCCTCCATCCTGCCACTGCTGCCGGCCCCTGTTCCTGCACCTGCACGCGGAGGAGAAGGATGAGGAGGGGGAAAAGAAGGATGATGAGGATGGGGAGGGGGGGAGAAGGACTAGGAGGACCAGGACAAGGGCCATGAAAAGGAGTAACATGAAACGGCGGAGGAAACGGAGACATATTATGATGATGAAGTTGAGAACACGAACAGGAGGAGCAATAGGATGAGGGCCACTACAAGGACGTCGACGCTGATGATGCTGATGCCAAGGACAATGACTGTGGTCATCGCGAGCATCATAGAAACATGCTGACGGTGGCAAAACGTGTTACGCCGAATCCTGAACGGCTCACAAAATCACAACGCACAGACGCCGGAACATGAATGAATGAACATACCCTGAAGCGAGGATGGTGGGCTTTGGAGCTTGAACACACATCGTAATAATGTTCGGCGATTCCCCCCCTCAGCAAACACAGCACTGAGACAATTACTAAGCGGCGGACAACTACCGTGGTCTTTGCGAGCGTTTCGGGAAAGCTGACGGTGACAGGACAGAGTTGCTCCGAATACGAGAGCGCCGCGCAAGAACACAGAACACCGACGTAAACCTTGTACTATTACATCATGGCCTAAGGCAGCAAAGTTGTACCATCCTAGACTGATGCAGGTCCTCTATGACACAATCAATGGTCTCAACGGTTTGGTCGGCAGTTCTGACAGGGAAACGGGCCGCTTCATACCTGCACGCTGCATCTGTAGCCGTTCGGCCATCAGCATCAAAGTGATGTCGACCCGAAAAGAGGACGACTTAGGATTGGGACCGCACGCGGCACCAATGCTATGGGCCTGAGGACAGAACCCATTGACCACACCAAATGCCGACCTGACAGCCGACCTTAGGTCATGGTCGACGCTTCCAAAAAAATGGAAGTCGGATGAGCTGGTGCCAATCGGGAAGCTCCCACACCAGGCTCGACCTGGGGTGTTCGAAATACCTACAGGGCAAGGTCTTTCACGCACGCACGCGCGACTCTGATGGCAGCTTTGAGTGTTGGCAGGGAACTACGCGACCTCGGAGGCCGAGGCGGGCCTCCCCCACGGGTCGGCGGCGCTGCTGAGGGAGGGGGGGGGGCCTGTAAGAGCGGAGAACCGACTCGGGTGAGCTGGTCCGAGGGCGCTTCACGGTGCACCCACAGCTGAAACCGAAACCAATGCTGAAGTGCACAGGAGAACGGAAGGGGCCCGCTGGCCCACCCTGCGGGTTTGGTTGACAGCACATCCTTGAGCGGTGCTGCAGCCTCCTCTTCTCTTAGCACAGACCCCCCCTCGAGCATCAGCCAGACAAGTCGGGTTTGCATCCTCATGCCTTGCTGGGCTCCGAGCGCGCGCTGCGGAAGGTCGTTGCTGTGCGTTCGCTTGCCCTGCTCCGGCGAAGAGTGGAAACACAAGGGCGCGGCGTCGAGAGTGGCCGCCGCTGCCCTGGGTCGATCCAAGAATCTCTCGGCATTGAGAGCCAGCAACCGTAGGCCGCCGAGGATCGGATCCAGCCCAGGAGCCTAACCTCGACGGCCCGGTCAGGCAGGCTGAGACCCGCATTCCGATCTGCCCCCGGCGCAGGATGTCCGGAATCTCGCCTGCGCAGCGTCCTGCAACGGGGGCCCCGAAGGACCTGACTACTGGCAGAACGAGCCGACGGCAGCGGGAGGCACACCTGTGAGCACGACGGAAAGCAGACCGGTACCTGCTTCGCGGCCGCAGCCGCGGGCGCTAAGTACTGCCTGGGGGGGAGCGCGCGTAGCGGGAAGACGCCCGTCAGACAGGTGGTTTCGATCAGCTCTGGCAACCTCTGGAACACGCGATCGCCGAATTCCGAAACGTTCGCCGGGAGGTCCTGGATCGCCTGCTACATGCGGGCTCGCTTGTCGTGCCTCCGCAGCGACTCGTCCGACGCCAAGCGGCCCCTGTCCTTCGCCATTGCCGCCGAAGGAGCACCCGACAAGAGATCGTGCAAACGCCCCCCATAGCGGGAAGGGTGGAAAAAGAAGGCCCCCTTCTGCAGCCGGAGCTCCAGCAGAGCCCGTCGGAACATCGCGCGGACGTCGGCGGGCTTGAAGTCCCGTGGGGGGCTGACCTCGGGCGCGCCATGCGTCAGCGCGCGCGCCGCGGGCCAGTGCTCGACGGCGCTGGTTCGTCCGTCACTCCTGAGCCGCCCCGAGGTCGCATTGCTCACGATGATGCCCAAGGAGCGGAATAATTAAGTTCACGATCGGCGACGCCAGCGACCTCGCCTTCAGGGGGTAGGCCTCAGACGGCCTGACGTAGGCGTGGAGGACTAACGCGACGAAGACTGCCATTCTGCGCTGGGCCTTGCAGATCCGCCGATCTGCCGCCGCCGTCGCCGCCGAGCGCGGCAATGGCAGCCGCATCTGGGGGGCCAGGCGGCGCTGCCCTTCCAGCGCCCGCGCGTCCCTGGGCATCGGCCGCGCCTCCTGCATGGAGCGAGGACGCTCCGAACGGCCGTTGCCGTCATCCTGCCCGCGGTGGCGTCGAAACCGCCCTGGGTCAAGTCGGTCAGGCAAGCGATCGTCAGGATGCCCGGCCCGCCCGTAGCGCCGAAGCCGTGGCAGTGCATGCCGATCCCGTCCAGGGGCCCGAGCGCGAGGCCCAAGAAGCGGGCTCTGGTCGCGTCGGTGATCGCCGACGCCTCCAAGAGGCTGATCGCCCCATCAGCGAAGTGCCCCGCCCGAGGGTGGCCCCGCACCTGCGTCGCCGCCGAGGAGAAGTCCCGCGGCATGGGCCGCCGGGGCCGTCGCCCCTTCCCGAGAAACCCTGCCGTGGAAGAGCCCGCGGCGACAAGGCCCGTCAATCGCGTTCCCGCGTCTTACCCGCAGCCAGCGCCAGCGGAGTATTGCCGACGAGACACACATATATCAGTGATGGTGATGGGAAGCGATGCGGGTAACGTGGCGCACGGCATCGCGCAGAGCGCCCCCCCTCATGCTCCAGTTGAGCCCCGCGCCGATTCCAATGCCTCCTGGAGACCGCGGTGGCCCGCGCAGTAGGCTGCGTGATGTGTGATTTGATTTCGCTGAAACTTCCTTGAAGCCGTCGGGGTCCTGAGGCGTGACCGGGCGACTGGTGACTGCCTCCGAGCAGACCGAATTGCCCGTGAGCTCCGCGGGGTCCACTGCATTAGCCCTCGCCGAAACCGCTAAAGTACATCGGCAACGCCACCTCCCTACCTGCCGCCCAATGTCGGCCTCCCGAGGCCCGTCCCGACGACAGGTGCACGCCCCGATGCCGATGGGGCGGGCGTCCGAGGCCGAGACTGGCGATGCCCGTGGACGCCCGCGTGGGAGGTCGAGAGGGTAAGCGCGACAACAACGCGCCACGAATCGAACCGCGCCACTGACTCCAAGTTCCTGTAATGGTGGGAAACGTGCATCAACAAAAACATAGGCAGGGCCTCTGGTGCAGATCGCGACCCGCGCGACGTGCCCCAGCAACGCATCGAGCGCGCTCGGCGACGCCGCGTACTTTCGAAGGACTGCTGCTAGTGCCTGCTTGGACGGGGCCTCGCAACGCTGGCAAGCTTCGCCCTCGCCCAGCCGTCGTCGTCACCGATGTCCAGGCCCGTGTAGGTGGAAGCGGGGCCGGCTTCGTCCAGCGAGTGGATGGGCAACCCGCGTCGCTGCGGCGCCCTCTTGATCTGGTCCCTGTTGGGCGCGACCGCGGCTGACCATCCAACTCTGATGCGTGCGAAGCCAGCGAAGGCGATTTGGTATTGTAGGAAGGGCGATGTGCTCCAAGCCTTTCTGGTGGTAGCAGGCGCATTGCATTTCGCCCTGGACCAGCGCCGCGGGGAGCTTCGCCTCTGGGAAAGCCCGCGGGTCCAGCGTGGTTTCGGGCGGCGGCTCGAACTCCGCATTCGCCGCCCTCGTGTCGAACGCGGGCCCGACCGTGCCGTTATTCGCCCCCCGCCCCTTCTCCCCTTCAAAATAACCCAGCTATATGGACCAGCAGCCTGAGCAGCGAGGAAGCTGACCATGCCGCCCTCGAGTAACTTCCTAATGAAATCAGCGTAGGGTATCGGATTGTGAGTCAACGTCGGATCGACGTAGGATCGCCGCGGTAGGTGGCCGCCTTCGGGCTCGGAGAAGACGACTGACTCTTCGGCGCGGCGCGTCTCCACCCCAGTACGCAGTCGCGGTCGGCCTGGCCGATGCGACGAGCGACGGCGGCCGGGGCCGTCGACGTGTCGGGCAAGGGCGCGAGGTCCTTCCTGTAGGTCTCGACGCGCTGGGGGTCCGCAGAATACCAGGGCGCGGGGCAAGCGGCTTTGTCGAGGCAGCTTCTCCAATATAGCATTCAGGAGGTAGGGGGAAATGCCGACAAGGCGGCCCGGCGTGATCCCTCGCGCCCGCCGTCGCCGCGCGCGTCGTCAAGCCTTGAGGCAGCGGTGCAAGCCCCCGCCGACTGACGCGAGCCTTGAGCTTTTCGCCCAATGACTACGGCGGCGGCCGAAACATATCGCGCTGGCGGTTGTCGGTAGTCTTCATCATGACCAAGATGGGCAACGACCAAGGCCGCAGTCCCCAGGTGTACTGACGTGCCTACACTCCGTGAGCTGGGGTCTCTGCCCATGCTCGCCGACGCGCCTATGTAGAGGTCGGCGTCCGCGGCGAGAAACCAATGCCTCGCCGAAACCACCGCGGCGCCCGCCGCTGGTGGGTCCGCCAGCGCCACGTCCTGGGCAGCCCAACGCGCGCTTGCGCCCACGCCGCCCTTGATGGTGAAGGGCGACGCGGACGCTGCCACCACTGCGATCCCAGCGGCGGTGCGGAGGTAACCCCGAGAGGTCCCCGCGTCGGGCAGCTTGTGGAAACGACAGATGTTCGCCCCTGCCAAGCCGAAGAGCTGAGCACCGGCGCCCGCGAGGGGGTCGAATCTCCGCCGCGTCGGCGTTCACCGCGATCGTCTCCTCGTAAACCGCGTCATTCACGGTCAGGACGATCGTTGAAGCCGTTCTGGCTCTGTGGGCGGGGGGCCCCAGAGCTTCTGCAGGCGTGCTTCAGAGCGGCGCGTCTGCGGAGAGCCATGGCCAGGCCGTGACCACGCTCTGCGGCGAGTGTGACGCGCCGCCGTGGCCTGCCGGGCAGATGGGCGGACCTGCCGCCATCTTGCACGCGGGCGGTGCGGTGCTCGAGGTGCACTCCCTGCTCCCGGGGGCGAAGCTCATCATGGAGTTCCTCAGAGGCACGTTCAGGGGTGCGCACGAGGCCCTCGTGGTCGAGAGGGGCCAGGCTGTGTCGGTGGCGCAGCAGTTCATCGGAGACTGCAAGAGCATCGATGGGGAGGCCAGCGAGTCCGTAGAGGAGCCGACGAAAGCGTTCGGTGACCAGGTCGCCCGCGTGCTCGGCCCGAGCATGGACGCGCTGTCGTCGGAGCATGTCGGGATCACCGTCCACATGCCGACGGGCGATGTCGTGGTCCAGACTGTATGCGAGGAGCTCCCTGTAGTCCCTGTCTTCCCCGTGCTGGGCAAGTGCGGCCTGGCCGAGGACGATCGGGGCGTCGAGGACCTTCCCGAGGAGGCGGTCAAGCTGGAGGCCGTGAAGGTCGAGGCGAAGACCGTGAAGGTGGCGATGGCGCATCATGTCGATAGCATCGAAGTGCTGAACGTCTCTGCTGGGAAGACCGAGAAGATCGTGAAGGTGCCGATGGCAGAGCACGTCGAGGACATCGTTCACGTGCCAGTGGGCGTGACCCAAGAGTCCGAAGAGACAGAGAAGATCGTGAAGGTGGCGATGACAGAGTACGTCGAGAGAATCGTTCACGTGCCGACGGGCGTGACTTAGGAGGCCGAAGAGGGCGTTTCGTGGTCCTGCATGGCGTCTTCAGCGGAGGCGTCGGCGGCGGGCGCCCCTGAGAGCGCCGCGGCGGTCTCCGAGCAGGACGAAAACGTCCACGAGTACGAGAAGGAGGTGATGAATGAGCTGGACGACATGATGAAGGTCGTGAGCCTCTCTGGCGGCGAGGAGCCGAGCGCGAGGGGGCCGCGGAGCTGGGAGGCCACGGTCGCGGCCAACCAGCTGGCGCATGCGAGGGCGGCCGCTGCGGCGGCATGCCGCCGCGCCCAGTGGCGGCTCGAGCACGACGAGCTGGAGGACGGAGCGGTCTTCGTTACCGCGGTGCTGGCGGCCCCACGGGTGGCCACCCCCCAGTGCGAGACGATGGTGGAGGCGGAGGTGCTGACGGGGCTGGCCGAGGACGAGAGCCAAGGGGGCGATGTGATCTACGCAGACGCTCCAGGCGGCGCCTGCGACCCCTTCGAGCCTGGCTCCGAGGAGCACGAGGCTGCGCTCGCGAGGGTGCTGGAGGGGTTCGGGCTCGCAGTCGACGACTTCCGCTCCATGCTCACGGCACCCGTGGGCGCGGAAGAACAAGAAGAAGAGAAGGGGCCAGATGACTTGGGGCTGAGTGGGCGGCGGCTACGCGTAGTTGCTGGGCTCGGCTCGAAAATCTGGTGTCTTTCTGGGGGCGACCTGGGGGCTGCCTCGTTTCGGGCCGCGGGGTCCTGGGGGCGGCCCTGGGGGCTGCGTTCGGTTGCCCGTGGGTCTCCGTCCCCGCGGGGGTGGTGGGGCCTTGGCCACGGTTCTCCCCTCCAGGGAGGTCCGTCGCTGGGGTGAACCTGTGTGGTGTGGCCCTCGGGCTCCTCGTCGCCACTCCCGCTTGCGAGCCGCAGCGTCGGCAGGTGGACGTTTGTTCGCCGAACCCCATACCATACCATACCAGGACGATCGTTGACGTGGATCAGCCCAGGACGGGCGTGATCCTGTCATGAATCCAAAGAGGAACCTCCTATTCTCGATACCGGGCACTACGCACCTCAACTGCCGCAGAAATGGTGGATCGCGGCGCGAGGCTGCTGCGTCGCGATCTCTCCCGGCTGCTCCGCTGGAAGCTCGGCGACCTCAGGCTTCAAGCGAGCAGCAGCCGCGCCGCCAACCCAACCTGGATAGCCACCGGCGCCCCCACGACGCAGGCGGGCAGAGATGAACGCCAGCCCAGAGAGCATCCCGAGGGTGAAACACGGGCAGCGGCCTATCCTGATGGAGGATGAGAGCCGCGACGCCTGGGCGTCCCCTGCAAGTGGTGGTCAATTTAGCGTGAAGCTGGGAGCACACTCGTAGGAGCAGGGAGGACACAGCGCCGACGACGATGTCCACACCACTAGGGTCTGTGAGGCGCCGCGCACGAGATCTGGAAGGAACCGAGCGGCGGCTGCTTGCATGCCCTTCAACAGCTCGAGCACAATTCGTAAGGATGCGCGCCCCTCACCTAGTAAACACCACACTGAAGTTGTTATTGTGATAGTGATGCGAGTGACGATTATGATGCTGATGGTGAGGGCTGATAAGAAGGACGAGAAGGATCAGCATGAGGGGATGGTGACAACTAATCAGGAGGAGCGGCAGGAGGAGGACGAGGAACAGGATAAGGAGGAGGAGGAGGAGGAGGGGGGGGATGGAGAGGAGAGGAGGAGGAGGAGGAGGAGGAGGAGGAGAAGGAGTAGGAGGAGGAGCAGCAAGAGGGGGGGGAGGAGCAGAAAGAGGAACAAGAGGATGAAGAGGAGGAGCAAGAGGAGTAACAGGAGAGGAGGATGAGAAGGAGGAGAATGAGGAGGGTGGAGTTTGGAGGTGGAGGAGGAGGTTGAGCGGCAAGAGGAGGAGGAGGAGGAGGAGGAGGAGGAGGAGGAGGAGGAGGAGGAGGAGGAAAAGGAGGAGGAGGAGGAGGAGGAGGAGAGGAGGAGGAGGAGGAGGAGGAGGAGGAGGAGGAGCAGGATGGGGGGGATAGCAGGTCCGCGTCGACGGGGGCGACGGCGCGAGACTGTCAAACGCGGGCTGGCGCGGGGCGCGGTGGTCACGTCGGCTCTTCCCGACCGATACCGCTGTGCCCGCCGGGCGGCTCACGGGAGCTCCCGGATGTGCACCGAAGACGGCCCGAGGCCGTGGTCGTCCTGGTACCCGGGGCGGGGGGTGGGTGGGGGGGTGCACGGAGCGAGGCGCAGCAACGGAAGGGGGGAGGGCGTACCTCCGAAGGATGACTGACGGCTCCTGGTCCCGGCCTCTGGCCATCCGCCTCGAGCCATGAGGAGGCGGATCGGGATCCTCCGCCCTCCTCTTGCTCCTTTCCCCCTCTCCGCATTCCTTCTCTCTCCTCCCGCCCTGCGCCTCCCACCCTACTCCTCCCACCCTACTCATATCTCCCCCTCCCCGTCCCCTATCCCCCTCCTCTCCCCCTGACCAGGCCCTCTCCTCCTCCTGCTCCCTCTCCTCCTCCCCCTCCTCTTCTTCTCCTCCTTCCTCTTCCCTCCTCTCTCCCTCTCCCCTCCTCTTTCCCTTCCATCTTACTCCCTCCTGCACTTCTCCTTCTCCTCCTCCTTCCTCGCCCTCGTCGGTCTCCCCATTCTTCTCCTCCTCCGTCCTCCTCGTGCTCCCCAGCCTGCTCCTCAGTCTCCTCCTCTACTCCTCCGCCCACATGTTTTATTCCTCCCATCCCTTTTCCTAATAAATACCTCCTCCCAGCCGCACGTGGGCATGTTTGTAGGTCGTGCCAGGCGTTTCGCCTGAGGCTTCGGAAGCTGGAACGTTGCAACAGTTTCAAGGATGGTAGGCGGGTCCCTTTCAACATGTGGTTCTCGCCGTCGCACCGCGCGCATTCGTCTTAATAGCGTGCAGTGCATTGAAAGGCTGAAGGCAGCTCCTTTTCGAACATGTGGTTCTCGCCTTTGCGCAGCGCGCATTCGGTTGGACAGTTTCCAACAGGTTTAAGGCTTCGCATGATTGAAGTTCCAGAAAGGGTGCCCTGGCATGACTTAGGAATGCCAGGACGCAACAGCCATGATGATTCGCAGTGTTGGCGTCCCAAATGGCGTTGTGGCACGATTTGAGGCTGCCAGGACGCAACGGTCACGGTGATTCGCGGTGATGAAGTTTCGAAATTTGTGTTTTGGTACGAATGAGGATTCTTCGACGGTTGTTTTTTAATGGGGCACTCCCCCGCTTTTGGAAACCTACTAAGAGCGAAGATGGAGGGATGGTTTAATTCAATACCGTTGATGGGCCTTGGGTTCACACTGGTCCCCCGTCTCCTCCTTACCCTCCTTCTCCTCCCCCTCGTCCTCCTAGTCGTCGTCGCCCTGCACTTTGTAACAACAAGGATTTTTCCTTGTTTCGGGCCCAAGGCCCTCACGTATCGGCCTGGCTCGAAACATGTCGTAGGAAGATGAGGTAGTTTTTTTTTTTTTTTTTTTTTTTTTTTTTTTTTTTTTTTTTTTTTTTGGGGGTTTTTATATATATTATTAT